GGTGGTGAGCAATTGCGTTGTGCCTCATTCGTTTTGTATATTCTGTTACTATTCTCATTATTACTATTATTATTATTTTCTCTTATTAAACTATCTTTACCTCAGCCCATGGCTCTAACTTTTTTCTCCTTCCCGATTCTCTCCCCCACCCCACTGAGGGAGGAGGGAGTGAGCGAGCGGCTGTGTGGTGCTTAGTTGCCAGCCGGGTTAAACCACAACATAAGCTTAAAAAAAAAAGTTTAAATTTTATAGAGGTTAGAGAATTTTTTCAAGATAAAACATCTAAGTGCAAAGAGGTGAGAAATACTCATTTTTTTTGCCATTGAGTACGTATATAATCAGATCACACTATCTTCTTTTGCCCCAGTTTGTTCTCTCAAATCATTTACACAAAATAATGAAACCAACCAAAATTATGTTCTGTGTAGCACTGTGAACTTGAAAGTCCTGTAAGTTTCCTACTGATTAGTCATCAGAAAATACCAGCTCCTCTGAAGTTAATGAGTTACAAAATCAACCCTTAAACAGATAAATGTGTGTGTAACTAGAATGCATGCAAAGTTCTGGGCTGATCCTTAAACAGATGAGATACTGTTAAGTTTAGTAACATCTAGGCACACTATAAGTAGCCATACGACGCTTTGCCATTGTGGCAGTCGCCTTGTAACTAGACGCACACAGAACAAATACTTACTCTGTCTCCTTTAGGACCTGCAGGGCCATGGGGACCAGCTGGGCCATCTACACCCTATGAAAGGAAGCAAAGAGGGTAAGAGAGGGGTCTTGTTCTTACAAGTCTTTAGTTTTAATAGCTGTCTTCTAGCTAAGAACTAACATGGAATCAGTCTTCATGGGTTGAAAATTCAGACTTAATTGTGATGGGACCTGGCCAAACAAATCCATTTGGCTTTCAAAACTCCTCCTATAAGCTCTTCTGTTATGAGCTAACTCATCTTTCTTCTGGTTGGATTTTACTTTATTCATGTAAGTCATCAGATTTACAAAGATTTTAAATTTATTGAAAGAAGTTTTGCCAGGAAAAATGGAAGGGTCAAAGAAAGATTCTTTTTTTTTTTAAACATTGATTATTTTTTAAATTCAAATGGCTGCCTGTAAGGTTGGTTTATCTGTTGCAGTGATCAATGGGAATCTTACAGAAGCCTTCAAGTGCATAACTCCACTCCTCTTTCACTTTATCCCTTTCTTATCATCATAAAAAGCAAATGATTTAACATTTACATTTAATATGAGAATGCCTGCGGCAGAACCCCAGCATGTCTGCATCCATTTCACTGATTCCATATTAGCATCGAACAAGTATGTTTTCCTGGGTAAACTCAAAACTCAAAACCTTACTCAGGAAAATAAGCACCCCATCAAGGCAGTTGTCCACCCAAAAATCAAAACCAAACTGCCTTTTTAGGAGTCAGAGCTCCTTCTACAGAGAACTACATTCTCCTTCCCACACACATTGCCCTAAGAGCCTGCTTGAAGCCCCCTTCTTCTACAGCGTGGAAAATGCCTGCAGCGTTTGGCCTGCCTTCCTCTGTGCAGTGTGTGAGGGCAGCCGGCGGAGCCGCTGGAAGGGACACGCACTCGGAAATGAAGAACGACACAGAAAGACGAGGGACTCACCCGGGGTCCTGGCTTTCCGTCTAAGCCAGATGCTCCCTGTGTGGTTAGGTGGAAGCATGGATGATGGGTACAACACGAATGACAAGAACGTGAGATTAGTAAGTGGTGCTGATGAATAAACATAATTCAAACGTACAGTACAAGTTGTGACAGGGTTCTGGAATGGGTATCACATTACTACAGCCTGTTAGTTAAAAATTCACATAAAACATCAAGAGCCTGACTCTGTTCTCACATTAGCGTAACACATCTGACCCACCCCTGCCTTCACGCCACAGTATATTTTGACCAGAATAAGGTCAAGCTATAGGAGTGCTACAAACACCAGATGTTAGGGTGTTTTTGAGCCTCAACAGGCAAATATTTACTTTGCAATTTACTTGCATGCTTTCTGATTTGTAAATAACGACAATACTGAATACTGCACTACACAAAGGAAGAAAAATGTATGCTAACCGTAATAGGAAGTATTTAAGTGCAAGAATACTGCGTTGCGCAGCCAACAAAATCTGGATCCTGACTACAATGGCCTCATTCATTTCCAAGAGCCCGGGAGACATCCCCGTTTCCTGTTTTCCCAATATATTCCCAGCTGAGAGCGCAGGCGAGGGCTGGAAGCGGGGAGCGCCCGGCACTCCGGGCGATTTGCTTCAGCATCCTTGGGAACGGGCTGACCTCTGCTGGATT